GAGGCCAGAAGTAACAACTGGCACATAGCTGTCTCAGCTGCACATTTCTTAGATTCCCAAACTCATGATCTTACCATTAAGTAACTCAACCACTTAAATTACTTGCTTTCATGATGGAATGGATTATCTAGGAGTATAGAAATGTTTCATATGTAAAATTAATTCTCAGTGATACCTAAAACTTAATTTTTTTCTTTATTGATTAAGGTATTACATATGTGTCCTTACTCCCCCATTGCCTCCCCCCCCATACCTAAAACTTTAATTTCCATTCCTTTTGCTAAGCATTGCTTTCTCCATAGTTCTATTTTATAGGGCCAATGGTTTTCTATGGACTTGTATATTAAGCCATTAGCATTTTTAGGATGAACGTTTTTTGAACTTTCATTTTCCTCCAGGGCAGAGAAAATACTAGTTTCTTTAAAAACTGAGAGTGGAGGTGAGGGTTCCTGAGACCAACTGTACATGTTTGCCCAGGGGTAGCCTGCAGCTGAACAACCTTTAATAGATGTGAATGGCTCAGATAAGGAGATAGTCATTGGAGAAACAAAAGGGCTCTTCTGAAGACAGAGGTTATTAGGGGTTGGCAGTGGTAAAGGGGTAGAGGAGCAAGGAGAATAGAACTGTACTCTGAAAAACAAGCTAAAGGCGATAGTCACACCAGGTTGTGCAGAGACGGATAGAGCTGATCGGGGGACCAGGTTCTACAGTCAGAGCTGTAAGCTAAATGTTTGCAAACTTGGGCATAGGGAAGGAAGCAGGGAGAAATACTCGACTACCTAGCTTTACATAAGGTGGCTTATAATGAGTATCCATATGTTATGTGTATTTTGCCAATGAGAAGCTGATCACTGCTCATAACCAGGAGAGTTGAAAGGCCATGTGACATGCTCCCATCTTTACCTGCAGGTCTGAGCTCCTTGTTCATGACATTAAGTGTAACATATCATCTGCTGTGATTGCTTACATAGTCTACCCATTTTGGCCTCATTAACCTTCCTCTCTTCACCTTGTTTTAAGCTCAATGCTACCCAACCCCATCTACCATCCCCCATGCAATTGTCTTCCATCGAAAGTCACAAGAACTTCTGGTAATTTGGCCTGTGCCAGAGAAAGTGTTTGTCAGTTGCTGCCTATTTTTCATGGTGAAAGTGTCTAAATTCTTCAGTCCTTTCCTAGAAAGGAAGAAGTGACTGTCACTTGCTCCTATCCTTTGTCGTGTGTTGAGTACTGGTTCTCAGAAGCAGAGGCCACCTCTGCCCAGTCCATAACCAGGTGCTCACTGGCTGTTTTTCCCTTTTTGGATGAAGTTGTTTTTCCTTCATCTCTGTGGGAATCCCAGCCCTAGAGAAAGGGGTTGGGGAGGAGGCTGGGCACCTTCAGCAAAGCTTGGTGACTATGAGTCATTGCGAGTCTAATGACCTTCCCATTTGTTATCTGTTGCCATGGTCACTGCTGGGTCTCAGCATGGAAAACAGACCTCCACACACTGGGAATCCTTGTCACTCCCTGACAACCTCCACTGACTTCCTGTTTCTTGTGGGACAAACAGGTAGTACAGGAGACCACTGCACAGGAGCTTTTGAGCTCCCTTTTCTCCTCTGTCATTTCCTCCTAAGACTTCATTCCAATGCTTAAAGGGTTTCTTCTCTGAAGACCCAGCTCAAACAACACCTCCCTGATAAGCCTTCTCATGTGGAACCTCTTTCTTCTGGGCTCTCATAGCACTGGGCATTCCCCTGAATTATGGCACATTTCACATGTTGATGTAATTATTATCTGTATGTCTGTGATTCCTACCCTCCTCACTCTAGACTGTCAGCTTCTCATGGGCTGATGTGTGTCTGATTTGAGTGTCATCAGAGTCTGCATTCAACACCTGGCTCTCAGCAGGTGCTCAGTAAGTGTTAACGGAAGGAATGAAGGAAAAGGGGAAGAGAACTGGTCTTCTTTTCATTTGTTCAGCCAAACACGCGTAGGATGACACAATGAGGCACTGACCCAGGACATAGATCAATGGTGCTTTAATGAAACGTCTTTCAAATCTGTGAACATGTTAGCTGCAAAACAAATGCTTTTATTCTTTCCATAGGACAGATTTCCAAACAATGATCACAGTGTTTAGGTTAATCAGATGCTGGACAGATGAGTAGCCAAAAATTTTTATAAAATAACAAGATCCCATCAACTACATATCAAATTTTAATGAGACATTAAGAGAATATATGTTTATAGTTACACAGCTAAAAACAAGACATTATTACAGCAATCAAGTCCACAAAACTGGGGAAAAAAAGGCTGTATGACAAAACAGCTTTTCATAAGCTATTAAATGAGCATACATGATAGACAAACCGATTTTATATTTGAAGCAGCTTATAGCACCAACACGTTGGCAGACAAGTATTGGGGTGGGCCCTTGGACCGAGGCATCTGAGGGCGGGAAGGGATCTCAGCCACCATCTCCTTCAAGCCTCTTGTTTTACAGACGGCGAAGTGGAGGCCCGGGGAGATGAAGTGCCTTGTCCAAAGCCATAGGACACAGGGACACAGGACTGGCTAGAAAACGATCTAAGCCACCCAACTTAGGTAAGTGCTCTATTTTAACATACATGTAATTCTATTGATTTAATGCACTTTTTCCTATTAACAGATACACCATAAAAGAAATCAATACAATTCATAACATAGTCTGTATTCTGTTTATTTTATTGAGAAAGGACTGGCATGTAGTGTAATTCACTTCTTAGACCGATTCATTCTTAAAATTGGGTGGAGTCACTCAGACGACACTTTTGTAGTTGGAAATCGGTTGAAAAGAGGCATGTGAAGAGAAAATTTGGCACATCCCCCATTACCTAAACTAACCTATGCCTCAAAATCATCGGTACAATTCTTTTTCTGGTAGTTTAAAAATCAGTCAAGTACAAAAACAGTCCAAATAAAGAGAAAGCAAATCACACCTTTCCTTTAAAAGGTAAGTATGGCACTTTTTATTTTAATAAAGTAAGGAAATATAAAAACCTGATTCTTTTTAGAAAAAAAAGTACTTACAATCTATAACTTGGGAACCACCTGGTATACAGTGTTTTCTCTCTAGAAAATTCTTTGGAGTCATGACATTTTGTCTAGCATGCCTTGCCATGATCCTGAGGCCTCAACTGGACAGATTTATGATGAATGAATGAAGATATAAGAATAAAAAAAAGATGACTGTTAACAGAAGCAGCATCAAAGACAAAGCAGAGTGAACATATTTAAATGGCTTATTAGGTAGGAAGCCAAAAAAGCTGCATGTATATATGTGATTGTGTGTCATTATAGTGGTAGTCGGAAAAATAACACACACTGGGCATTTGTCCATCATCATAAACCAGCTGCTGCAGAAGAGGTGAACTGTGGCTTCATAAGTAGAATGAAGCCTGATAAATAAAAGTGACTTCTGCTTCTCACATAGACATCTAGCTATAAGTAAGTCAGCATTTAGCTACAATTCCCGCCCCCCCCCACCCCCACCCCTTGGGTCCAGCATCAAAGGATTTGATTTCACTTTTCTTGAACAGGCCCTCTACCTAGTTAGGAAGTTATGTGACAATTATACTTATGGCCCTTATGCCCGGCCAGCAAAAATAAAATAAAATCTCCTGGGACCTCACTTCCATTCCTTATCACTACAAGCATATGAATAAGTATATAGCAAAATATATTTGTTTTCTGTTAGGTAAAAGAACATGTTTGAGTATTGAAGAATAAACTATGCCTGCTACCAAAATTGTGCACATACCTGTATAATAAACAGAATTGCATGAAAATACTTTAACAAGACGTATTATAAATATTTAAGGAAACATTAGTGTTCTGAAACTACCAGAAAAATATACCTATTTAAAAAAAGAATATCTCCTTAAATGAAGCATTTAATGTAAAGTTGTCTTTTTAGTGTACATTTCAAAGTTCACCGTTGGGAAGGTGGACCGTTCTCCCCCCTGGACAGGTGGCTGTCACACACTTGGGAATTGGCCATGTTGCAGAACCAAGCTCCAGATGACAAGAGGTGTAGGGCAGTGGCGAGATTCACATGGTCTTGGAAAAACGAGGGCAGTTTATAATGCTGAATAGATGGGTGGCGTGGAGAAATACTGAACATATTTGAGCAGTTTAAAAAATAGTCCTGCGTTAGTTTATCCACAATTACCATAATACTCCAAGCCCAGACATTCAATTTGGAAAGGGGCTTGCATTGTAGGGCAAGATTGCACAGAACTAGGAAAAATCCATTGTAAATAATTCCTTCTTGGGGTTGAGTCCTTTTTGAGAATATGTTTGTAATCCTTCATTAGTAGTTATTTTGAATGAACTAAAGATGAATGAAAATATCAAAGGCCAAGGGTATGGTTTGGGCCCTGAAGTGAGCATTTAGTAAAAAAAGAACCTCTCCTCCCCTTTGACAAAGTTAACATAGTCTCTGGTTATAGGAGGTTCCTTCTTGTGGGATCCCCACTGGACACTGTGAGGATGTGAGGGCTGCACTTGCGCCCAGAGGAAAATCAAGGAGCCCAACGCCCAGCGACTGGAACCCTTGGTCCCGGGTCATATCCACTGAATCCACGTCTCTCGGATGGTCTGTGGACAAGGTAGGGATGACACTGACACTGCAGATGTGTGAGAAGAGCCTGTGTCTTAATACCTTTATGTTTTTTGTATGTTCAGTTCCCACCATGTTCCTTCCACCCACTTGGGCCGGGGAGGTGAACATTACCTCTGCAAAGAGATGTTCTGGCAGGAGAGGAAGATAAAAGGCAAGGCAGCGAGAAAAAGAGGAGCTAAGTCACAAAGTCTAATCGGGAATAGCAGCTGGCTTTCAAACATCCCTGCTCCTCTCCCTGCCAGGCTCCTGAGCACCCTGTCTGCCCCATTCCCAACAGGAGGGTGGAAATTTCAGAGGTGTCTACCCTGATCCAGAGACCGTGAGCCCCCGGCACACCTGCCTGGTGTCCTCCCCTTCTCTCGACTCAGGATCACTGAAGCCGGAAAGGCCTCTTGTGAATGAATACCTCACATTATGAAAGGGCATTCAGGTCACTTTAAAAACTTTAATTGGCACAGTGTATTGTAGCCGGAGAGGGTCAGCAAGAGATGACTTCATTACTTGATGGCAATGAATACAACCTTTAGGATGGCCTTTAGTTTTTGTACAATAACTATATAAAAAGAATTTCTTATTCTACTCACACATAGCTTAAGATAAAGGGAAACTTCTGGAGCTGAGGGACTGATGGTATGAAGAGCATTTTATTAAGCAAATAAGCTTTGATATGTGTATATACAAAGACATGTATTTATATCTATATACACAAAACACTCCTCATCCGTATATACTGTACAGGTTAGTGCAACCCTATTAAGAACACATTATAATATAATGGTTTAAGGACTTAAGTTATTCTTGGCATTTTAATCTAGACAGGGGCTTAGGTAATTTAGGTCTTGACATAAACGGATCATTCATATAGTTGAAAGCCTATCTTTGTGTTTTTTAAAAGGCCCAGAATGACTTGCGTTAAGCAGCAACCCAATATGACACCACGGTTACCAAATGGAAAACAAGATTGTTACTTTGTATTAGATCAGTAAAGGGTATTTCAGAGAAAGGACAACTTGGAAAATAAAGACTTCAGAGTCCATTATTCCATATTAAGAGCATTTTAGTTATTAGCAGTGGTTACCAAATAAGCTGAAGGTACTTCTCTTCAAGGAGCTGCTCATAATTTGATTTGCTGAAGAGACGCGAGGAACTGGTTCACTCTCCTCTATAAGATGATGCACGTTTTCTTGTCCTTGAAAGGGTTTTCTGAGGTTGGTATCCCCATCAGCAGAGGGTCACTCCTGGCATGCTCCTCACAGTAGGACATGAGATCGGCTGATGCCTTTGATACCTAACATGCAGACAAACAAGAAAGGGAATGCTTTCTTTACAAACTGGAAAAAAAGTGTTTGAATGCTCATGCATTGGGTGGAACTGTCAGAGAACAATGTCGGTCGCAGATTCCTTGTTAAAAGGGGGAAAGGTACGTTTACATGGCGCAATCTGGCAGATAAGGCCTCCTTAATCAAAAAATAAAACTAACATCATCTATCTCCTACAGTGAACACTGACACATCACCAGTTAGCTAGTGTTCTGCCAAAACATTTAAGTGGAATCTAATCATCAGCAAGCAATTTCATCTCGAATGAGGGCCACTCTGCAGAGAGAGTGGCCTGGATTCTTCATGAATGAACTGTGTGTTAGATAATATTCTCAGCGGATCCTGAATGTTGTCACTGTACGGCGGTCGTGTAGGAGAATGCTCTTGTACTTTGGTGAAGTATTTAGGGGTGATGAGTCACGATGTCTGCCAATAACTTTTAAGTAGTTCAAAGAAAAAACTTATATGTATTTTGTGAGTATGTGTGTGCAGGGACAGAAAAAGAGAGGGCAAATGCTAACAATGGATGAATCCTGGTAAAGAGTACATGGGTGTTTGCTACTACCACTCTTCCATAGATTTGACATTTCTCAAAATAAAAAGTTGGGGGAGGTAAGAAAAAAAATGAATCAATGGAAGATTGTATCTTAGTTTCTAACTCCCCCCTCCCCACCCCAAAAATCGATTAGGATGCAGAACACAGTTAAAAAACCAAATTATGGGTTTAGAGCCAAATACTACTGGAGTTTCAAGATTTCTTGATTGGGCTTGGGAAAGAGACAAAGCCAGCATGGGAAGATGCAGGGCCTCGCTCTGGCTCGAGTTAAAAATGGAAAATGCCAGCCCGGTTCAGAGGCTGGTGGGAGATCCCTGCAAATGCTCAGACCAGTGTCCTCAGCTGAACCCTGTCAACCTCAGCACAGCAGGCCTCGTGTTTTAAAGACAGGTGACCATCTCCAGGCCCAGAGGAATTTATCAGGTGACGGCTTGAGTTTCTAGGAAACAGCATTACTCACAACATTCCAGGGCACTCACCCCCTAGTCCTTCCTTGGGATTTGGAGGGGGGGGGGTCACTCCTAAGTCAGGTGACCTAGCACATACCTTCCGGTTTCTACCAGGGCTGGCATGGCTCACCCAGGTGCAGAACGTGGCCACTAAAGCCCACACACAGTTAAAAAGCTGCATTCTCCTAAAAAGGAGACCCCGATTGCTGACTTGTGATGCAGGCCTGCCTCAGCTGCACGGGTAAATCAGATCACTTAATAAATTCCAGGGGGATGACGAGGAATCCCTGTGCCAACATAAAACCCAGCAATCCCAGGACCTGACCGTGTTGGCTCAGGGAAGGTAGGCCCTCAGGAAATCTCGCCACAGGTTTTAGGTTTTCTGTCCCAATAGAGAGGCTAACTCAGACACTCTGGCTCCCCAGTGCTTTTGAAATGAGGCCTGTGCTTGGTAGAAATGAAAATTAGAGAGTCTAAGGCTTTCAGCTTGTTCTAGGAGAATCCCGGCACCAAGCTGCATTAAGTAGCATCACCTCCTCTGAAACGTGGCCTGGCCTTCAGAAAACACATCCCATCAAATCATCTTACCTTTATTCTCTCGATGGAAGCTTCTAGTCTTAACTGCTGCACAGTTCTCCTTGCCTGGGTGATGTTGTTGGTGCTTGCTGTTTTGCTTGACATCTTTAATTATTGTTTTTACCTGAAAGCTGGAGAGAATTTTTTAAAAGGTCAACAACAATCATCTCTATGTTGTTTAAACATTTTCAATGCTTTGTGTTACCTTAGGGGGAAAGGATGCATTTTCCCAGTCCACAACATCTGTGAGGTACTGAAATACCCCTCGGCAGTGAGTGGTAGCCTGAGTGTCTAAGCTTGCTACCCATTTGAGCACCTTCATAAATCTTCGGTCTGCAGGAACCCAGTACTAGTTAGTAGTTCACTAGTAATCCATGCACCCCATATACAGCACAAAGTAGCCTGTTCTAGGATTTTCTAAAGGGGAACAAATATACATAAACTTCTGCAGTAGGTAGAGGGCCCCAGCAAACATGATCATGTGCAATCCGAACCACGGTACACGTACAGTTAGTACCACTGCTCTGTGCTTCAGTGGAAGGCTTGGTTTCATTTCATTCTGGCTCTCTTACCCAACTATCACACGGATGCAAGTTCTGGCAACAGAAAATGGCAAAAGGCAGTGTCCCTGGAGAACTCTGCACAAAGGGTGCAGTTTTAGGTGCCACCAGGATTTGCAACGTTGGGAGAACATTGGTTAGGCAGATAAGGACGTCTTTATCCCAGTGACAGACAGATCCACAGCAAATAGCAAGTGGGGTAAACTGAACAGCCCGACATATTTAATGAAACTTAATCATTCCCTCCTTTGACCTCTCGGGCCTCACCCTGGCAGCCAGGGCACTTGCTAATCCTGCACCTACTACATGTTCCCGGGGTGACTCTCCTCTCGGGCCTCAGCCCTTGGATTCTAGGCTGCCTCTTCCTCCCTTTCCCCGGCCACCCAGTGAAAATCAAAGGCAGCCTCCTGGACCTTGAGCTTCAACCTATCTGGTTGTCCAGTGGTATATTCTAAGGGGAGGGCAGGCTGGAGCCCTGCCATATATGGCTAAGTTCTCTCTGGGCCTGGTGGCATCTGCAGGGAAATGCAGAGCTGGCAGCCGTGTGGCAGTTCTATGACTCATAGGAGCAGGTGGATGACGGACGGTAGGTGTGCCGCCTGGGTGCTGTGCGAGGGCTGAGCAGTCTTAGGGCACGGTGGCGCCAGTAGCAAACCCAGGTTGTCTCAACTTTGTGGAGGGGCCGCAGCTGCACAAAGCATGTCTGCCATAAAGGCTTGGACCAGACAAGGCTGCAAAACACAGGTGACCTGTGCGCTCCGCCGTGTCCAGCCGAGTTCCACACTTAGAATGCTCCCAGTGGCTGAGTTCAAGGCCCTGAGTTCCACACTTAGAATGCTCCCAGTGGCTGAGTTCAAGGCCTTGGGTAGGGCTTCTGCCCTCTGAGGTCATAGGCAGCCTTGGGTCAAATGCACCAATAAAACTGTGGGCAAAACTCTGAAAATCCAGCCTAATCAGCAAGTGCCACATTCCTGGGTTTGGACCCTCCCTCTGCCTCACACTAGCTGGACGAAACTGGTTCCTGAAACAGGTTACTGAACCTCCACGAGCCCCGGTTTTCTCACTTGTAATATAAGGATACAATTATTTTTGAGGATTCAATTTGCTGACGCACACGTAGTGTTTCGCATAGGACCAAGGCACTCTACGAACAGCAGCTGCTATTATATTTCTCCTCGGGGGTCACACCCAGCACAGTGAACCGAAATTCCCTGTGTACCTGTCTGCCTCCCCTGGTCAATGAGCCTCAAGGGTGTGGACTGACTAGGTCTGGTTGGTCCATGGGGCATCAGCCCCCCCGCCCCCTTTTTTTTAGCATCCACAAGCAGTTCCGCTGCACGCTAGTGTCAGGACAGAATGGAATGGTTCGTGACATCCAACAGAGGAATCCCCTGAAATAAGGAAGCTCTAGCAGTGCAGGAAGCTGGGAGGAGGAATGCTGGGGTGGGGCTGGTGGCTTAGGGTGACCTCGTTTCAATGCACTCCCTGACCAGCTGCCTCTTCCTCAGATTCTTCAGTTGTCCCGCCCCAACCCTAGCAGGCCTAGGAGGTCCTCCGGGGATTTTGCTCACACCCACTGGCCTGGCCCAGCCCATTCCTGTGCTCCCAGGCATGAGCTTATGAACAGTCTTTGAAATGGGACCCAGGCAGCAGGCAGGCTCACTGTGAAAAGTATGAAGTGCCCTGGTTCACAGCACGCTGCTTCCATATTTTGTTCCCTGTGGCACGTTACCCCGGGCTCCCCTGCCAGCTGGCCCTGGTTCTGAGCACTGGCCCCCCAGCCTCCAGAAAGCGAACATGACACCCTTTCTGACGGCCTGTGGTTTCCAGGCTGCACCCTAAGGACTTTCTAAATGTTCCCCTGGCATGAGAATAGCGCCAAGCATTCTCCTCCTCTTCTCAGCCTCCAGGGCTAAAGTTTCCAAGGCCTGAGCAAGCTTTCCTGTAACTGCAGAACAGTTCACACAAATCGGGACCAGATCAGTCATTGCTCCCACCCGCATGGCCATAAGCAAATAGTCCGCAGTCAGGTTCTATTTATAAAATGCTTGGGTAGGCCTCCCGAACACTGGCCAGAAACTTTGCATCTAGTACATGAAGGACTTTCTTACTTCCTGACTCTATTATAGTCACGATTGATAACAGCCAGCAATTCACAATGCACACCCGCCAGCATGGCTCCTTGCAGCTTTCCCCTGTCCTGATGTCTGTGTTCTGACCTGCCCCCTCCCAGACAGCCTCCCCTGTCACCAGACAGCTTCTCCACTGCTCAGGTAGCCTGCCATCCCCTTCTGCCCTGCCAGCCTCTCTCGGGCTCCCAACTCAAATACAATTTCTCTTTTCCAAGAATAAAATCTTTTAATATTCTTCCTGTGGAGAAATCGGATCAAGGTTATATTGTTTCAACTTAAGAAGCTGAGTTGCCTCTTGTCTGTGCAAGGAGGGCCACTGCTGTTAATTCTTGGGGAGTGGGGGCTGTGCACCGGGGCTGGAGGGCCCGCTGAGGATTTCCTCCCAAGCTGCAGCTGCGGCTTCGCATCTCAACAGCTGGGCCTGAGCAGAATCGGAGCAAGAGGCTGGGAAACAAACACCTCTACACCTTCAGAGGGTTTTCTTTGGTCTTCCCTTCATGGCAAGGATATCTAGCTGTTTGTTTGTGCTACTAGGTGGATGAAAAGCATGCTTTATTCTTACTCCAAGAATAGCTTCCAAGGCAAACAATACCTGCTCTTTGTATGGAACTGTAGACTGCACACGGTGCTTTCATATGCATCAGTCCATGAAGCCTGGCTCTAATTCCAAAAGGTATATTAGGATTTCATCCTTGTTTCAAAGATGAGACAACTCAGGTGAGAAAAACTTGCTCCAAGCTAACCTAGTTTGTAAGCCTTTTCACCCCAGAAGCCACGCTTCCCACGGGACCCCGCAAAGGATGCAATGCCAATAGATTTGATGCACAAACACTCGGGTCATCACTGAACAGTCCACGATGTGGTTCTTCATCAAGGGGGACCTTGACGCTCCAAGACCTGGAGTTACGAGCTTGCCGACTGCCTCTGTTTGTGCAATACCTGTTCTGGTGCAGAAGGTATCTGTTTATCTGTCTAATGCCCTGGAGGACAGGTCCCCCCGCCCTCCCTCCCCCCATCCGCAAGCTAAGCAAGAATGTTCTTGCTGCTGCTTCTAGGCAAGGACTGAGGTCGGCATCTGGAGATCTTGAGCCACTCAGAAAGGCCAACGCCTGTGCATGCCTGTGCAGACCTCCAGTAGCCTTGTTTTCATTTTTGCATGTGGCTAACAGATTTGAATAAACATATGTAGCAGTTAGCTATTCAGATAATTTGCATTGGTTTTAATGCTGTTGTTCATCTGCATTCCCAGGGTCCTAGGAATTCCTGGGAACAGAATGTCCCCTTAGGGAAATACGGACATTTTAATCTTTGTCTAGAGAGACCTGAAGCAGGGGGAGGTGGGAAGAATACCACACTCTGGAAGGAAGACACCAGGCAGCCCCAGGATCTGCATCACAAGTCACCGTGGCCTGGCCAGGAATTGAATCACTGGAGTGACGCCGATGCTCATGAGCAAACACACCCCTTGTGGCTGTTAGAAAAGAGCAGGCAAAACAAAAACAGGTTTCCACTTACCCTCTGATCTTGCCTTCAGCTATCAGGGTATTACTCCAGCTCCTGCCTGTCCTCTCGTTTGTTAAAGGGGGCACACTCCCTATCCCATAGGGTTGTTGGGAGTGCCTATCAGTAATGCACCCTGTACATACACATGCTCAATGAATGCTGGGCCCCTCGGCTCGCTAACAAGGCAGAAACCATGTATATGGCGAGACACAAGAGGAAAATTCAGACAGCACAAGAAGAATTTCAAGGTCATATGACCAGGTAGCAACATCTTTCTAATACGGCAGGAAGTGTGGGGAGTGCAGAGTCAGACCCTTGGGTCTATTTTCATGAACACTTATTTTCTGTCAGGGCCTATGGGCTGAATTCACCCCGCAGATGTGTTTGGTTGGGGCCCATGAAAGGTTAACTCAAAAGTATCTGTGTTTTAACTTTACAGTGATTGTCAAAGTTTGAAAATGAAAGATTTCTGGAAAAGTCGGAGAAATCTTATAACCTGGGCTGGATCTGAGTAGTGGCTGCCCCTTTAACATTTGCTGGGCCCTCTAGTAGACTATGCCTTGGCTCTCTAGTTCCAGGCATACTCAAGGATTAGGCCAAGGGACTCGAGCTCACTCCTGCCCCTTCCTAGCTTTGGGGCCCTGGGAAGGACTTGTCACCTCTCTAAGCCTCAATTTTCTCATGGGAAAAATGGGGGATAATAATACTTTTGTATCTCAAAGGACTGTTAAGATCAGATAAAATAAGCATGTGAGTGTAATAAGTATAAAGAGTACTTTGGCTGAGCATTAAGTATGTGCACCCTCTGATCACATCCCATGCAAAGTGCTCGAAGCACTCCACAGTCCCTGATGGGTGGCGCTGGGCAGCTACCCTGCCCTCCTGGGCGCCTTGCTGTACTGCAGGGATGGAAAGTAAGACTCTAAGTCTCCTAGT